AAAGAAAATATTCAATGTCGTTTACAGGTAGAAATAAAATATCCCAGTGGAGGTGTGAAATGCAGGAAAGAATAAAGAATAACAAAATGTTGGCCACTTAATAAATACTGACTGCAGAAAATATTTTTGATGATAAAATTACAGGGAGACATAAAACATATGACAATGCCACATAAATTATAAGGGAATTAAGTCATTGTACCGTCTGGGCAGTGAGAGTTAATATTGGAATTGATAGGGCAAGGATGCATGTTATAATCTCTGGAGTTACCACTAGATTAAGCGCAAAGTAGCATAGGAGAAACAAGTCTAGCGATCTAATGTACAACGCGAGGACTAGAGTTGTTAACAAAATTGTGTTACGGAGTTTTGTTAAATAAGTAGATTTTAGCTGCTCTTGTCACAAAGTAAGTAACTATGTGAGATGATAGGTATGTTAATCTACTTTACTATCTATATGTATCCCATAACATCACATTGTAAACCTCAAACAAGCACTATAAAATGTTTTAAAAAGAAGTACTATAGAATTCAAATACATAGAAGGCAAGAAAGGAATAATAATAAAGAATAAACAATCCAAAAGAAGACGAGAAAGAAAAGGGAACATGTAAAAGTCACGCAAATGGAAAGCTTTTCAGAAGATGTAGATTAAACAAAACCTGTTCCATTATCCAGTATCCATGGTTCTGTCCATCTATTGCCTCCAGATAGAGCACTTCAGCCAAATGGCTTCATTTACAATTGGCCTTCTCTGCACAGTTCCTGAGGATGGTTTTTGTCTGACTTTCCAAAGATCCCCATAATTTCTTCTTTAAAAATAAATTTTAAGTAGATATGCAGGCTTTCTAAACGTCAATCTATGAAAATTAAGTGTATAGGTGGTCTCTGAATTCTAGTTGTGCATTTACAACTGACCCATCATCCCTGTCCACCACGTGTCCCAACCCCACCACCAGCATCCCATTGCCATGACTGTGTGGTGGAGGAAGGGAATACAATTTTAGGTCTCTAGTGTTTGTGGGCAGATCACAAGGAGTTCAAGACCATGTGTAGGTCGCACGTGAGTGTCAAAAACATGGTGTGAGATGCCTTCATTTCACCTTTGGTAGAACCTCTGTCAGCCTCCTCTATGTGCTTCAACCCCTTCCTCTGATGCACAGATTTGGATTAAAGGAAAGGTCAGTCACCCAGCTTCCCTGGGGCAACGAGCTATATTTGAGCTATGACACCGCTGGGAATAGCACTTGGTAGAGAAAATTAACCCCTCTCATGGGTATTACTATATTTTCTACTCTGGGAGGCTGGAAGGAATATTTTGATAAACCACTTAAAGTGAAGAATTAGGAGGTTAGGTGAGAAAATTCATCCCCAAAGGGCATGCTCAAGAAATAGCAAATGGCCTTTACCACTATCTCGAGTGGGTTGGGCCAAGCAATCTCAGGGTTTTGTTTTGTTTAGAAACAGAGCTGACTCATCCAGAGCAACAGAGAAGAGGCAAAAGACCTGTCCCTCCCCTCCTCTGATCCCATCCTAAAGAAAACACATCCTCTCTGTCAGACAGATGTTCCACTAATATTTAACGAATATTGCTTCAAAGAGTTAAGAAGAAAGAATCTTTAGCAAGTTTAAATTTAACACATTTATTTGAAAATTTAAAAAGATTCATAAACAGGTCAGCCTTCAGAAACAGAGCAGGTTCAAGGAACTCCTGCCTGCTCCAGGGTCAGGCAGCATTAATGGACAGGAAACAGAAGTGCCGCAGGAATCACTTAATTGGATACAGCTGGTGCTTTATTGGAATCAGCTGGCTGTCTACCATCGACTAAAGTGCAGCTGCTGTAACCAACCAAAACTCAGCTATTTGCTAACTGAATGTACTCCTAAGTTATTTCACTGAGCATGAATGACTATATATTAGTTTGGTCTGCTGGGCCCAGTATGGGAGCCCAGTCCGAATCAATGAACTCCTGCAAATTTCGTGTAATAGAAGGAATTACTGGTCTGCCATATCTTGACCATGATTTATATATCTAGGTATATCCATCAAAACTGTGCATTAGACTCCAGTTCAGTTAACCTGGTTAAGATCTTCTAATAAAAAGGTAAGTACTTTCAAGAAGATGAAGCCTATCACCATTTGTGGCAAAATGAATTAAGTGACTGAGTTTAGGGCCAGGCATGGTGGCTCACACCTGTAAGCCCAAAGCACCTTAGGAGGCCAAGGCAGGCGGATCACCCTGGTCAGGAGTTTGAGACCAGACTAACCAATATGGTGAAACACTGTCTCTACTAAAAATACAAAAAATTAGCCGGGCGTGGTGGTGCACGCCTGTAATATCAGCTTCTTGGGAGGCTGAGGCAGGAGAATCGCTTGAACCCAGGAGGCAGAGGTTGTGGTGAGCTGAGATCATGCCATTGCACTCCAGCCTGAGCAACAAGAGAAATTTCATTAAAAAAATAGTGACTGAGTGTGCTTTTTTTCCTGTGGTCCAGCTGGATTAAGTATGGGGCAGAAGAGAGAACTAAGAGAGAACTAGATCAAAGATGTAGGTTGGATAAGATGTGCATGTTCTCTAGAAGCAGTATCTGAACTGGGGATGCTAAGCTCGCCAATAAAATCTACAAGGAGTCGTGAGAAGCAGGAGAGGATAGGTAGGAGAAGGTGTCTGGCAAAGGCTTGGGTTTGGCCGATATCTACCCTCAGCCTGATCCTATGGGGAGGCTCAGAGTGTGGATGGCATCAGAGTTGTCATCCCTTCCATCAAGGAGCCTAGACTTCTTCACTCAGTACCAGCCAGTCACTGGCTGAGGGCCTCCCCAAGAAAAAGGCAAAATCTCCCAGTGTTTCATGGTTAGGAGCTCCCCCCACCAACCCCAGGGCAATTATCAGGAGGAGGGGCAGGTGTGAGCCTTGCAAAGCAAGTGCTGATGGCAGCTGGGGTTGGTGTCCCTGCCAGTGAGAGGAATCTGGTCAGGGCATCCACAGAACCTACTTCAGCTGCCAAGAATGTACCCCAACAGACCCTGCTTCCAAAAGTCATTGAGGGTCAGTCTCGCACAAAAGGAGAGAAACAAAACTTACTTCTCCTCACTCCCATCCCCACCTTCCTTTTGCTATGATCTGGTATGCCAAGTAGCCCCTGTCATTCAGCAATGTTGGGGTCAGTGTAGGATTCTGTCGACTACAATAACTTCTCTGGGTATAGGGTTTCTTTGGAGAAGTTGTAATAATTTACTGACACAGCTGGACCAAAATGTTGAAACTGGATTATTTTTGGAAAATCTAGAACATGTGGTCATCCTATGTGGAGTTTGCTAACAGTCAAATAAAATTACAAAAGTATGAATCTAATAAACATATAGTGCTGTAGAATTATTACTCTGCTACATAAAATAGAGAGTTAGAGCTAGAGGTTATATAAATAAAATCAACATTATTTCTGTGAAACTCAACCAAAGTTTTAGGATTTTTTTCTCACTGTGTTCCCCAGTATCTATAGTATCAATATTAAGAAATTTCTCTAATGTTTCAAACCATCTCACCATCATTGCCACCCACTATCACAAGGGAAAGCACAAATGACCTACGTTTGCTTTTCTTCTTTTTTTGTTTGTTTGTTTTTTTGAGACAGAGTCTTGCTCTGTCGCCAGATGCCAGTCTGGAGTGCAGTGGCGTGATCTCGGCTCACTGCAACCTCCGCCTCCTGGGTTCTAGTGATTCTCCTGCCTCAGCCTCCCGAGTAGCTGGGGCTACAGGTGCACATCCCCACGCCCAGCTAATTTTTGTGTTCTTAGTAGAGACGGGGTTTCACCATGTTGACCAGGATGGTCTCCACCTCATGACCTCGTGATCCGCCTGCCTCTGTGGGATCCCAAAGTGCTGGGATTACAGGCGTGAGCCACTGTGCCCGCCTGGTTTGTTTTTCTTCTACTCATGCCTCACTCTGGTTTTCCCTCCCCAGGGTCAGACTCCAAACCACTCTTACTCGATTAGGGTCGTTGATGAACTGGCATTACACTTTTAGATGCTGGCCTAGGTACTGAGAGGATTATAAAAATGTGCATGTGTAACTTGTAAAAGAAGCAAAGCACTCTTTTCTTTATTGCGTTCTTCAAAATCTTTCCTTTTGCAAGTTTATGAGAAAGTGAAAACATCATAGAAGTCCTATTTCTTTTAGAAGATGAGGAGTGAAATATAAACTAAAAATAAAATCCAGAGCTTGAGACCAGCCTGGCCAACATCGTGAAACCCCATCTCCACTAAAAATACAAAAATTAGCCTGGTGCAGTGGTTCATGCCTGCCATCCCAGTTACTCAGGAGGCTGAGGCAGGAGAATTGCTTGAACCTGGGAGGCAGAGGATCCAGTGAGCCGAGATCATGCCATGCACTCCAGCCTCGGCAACTGAGCAAAACTCCAGCAGAAAAAAATTGAAAATAAAATTATACGCCATTTAACCACTGATTGGACCCCCTCTTGGTCAAAGAGACGCCAGAGAAACCTTAAAAATTGCGTCTCCAGTCATCACAGGGTGGTGAAAGGTAGAATATATTTTGCTATACCCTTTCCCTTTTTGGTTTAAACACAACCAACCAGCATTCACATAAAAATAGAGATCATAGGACTGCCAAAACAGACTCTTTGTGGCAATAAGACACCAAATTATAAACAGGACCTAGGGCTATGCCAGGTAAGGGTGAAGTCATGCACCCCACACTTAAAGAATAAACTAGGTTCTAACCGCCACATGGTTTCTTTATCTCTAGCAGCCAAATAAACACTGGCCTCCAGATAAGCAAGATTACAACAACTACAACTCACCCAGTTCACAGATACTGAACAACTGACTCCCTGTTCCACCAGCCTTAACTACAGCTCTGATTCCATAAGAGACTGATTTGAGTAACTTTCTCCTGTTAAGTGACCACCTACCATGGACTGGTTCTGGCCAATTTACAAAGGCTGCTCACTTCGGTGATTTTGTGTCTCTGCTTCACCTTCTGACCTACAAGGCCTAATTATAACACACTTAAATGTTAAGTCTCCACCCCAAGGCGAATATAAGTTGTATGTAACCCGGTGTTTGTTCAGTATGCATGTGTCAGGACTCGCTTCATTCATATTCATATCCCTTCCTATAATCTGTTGAATATGTATGTTTAGCCAACCCTTTTAGTATAAAGTTCCAACCTCAACCCTTCCTCCTTGGAAGTACTATTTCTGGGTTTCAACCAGAGGCTATACTTCCCAGCCTGTCAGGATGGCCATCTTGGAAGCTATAGCCCTTTACAAGAAATAAAGTGTCCTTTCCAAACTGTGATTTTTTTAAACTTTTATTTTAGGTTCAGGGGTACATGTGCAGGTTTGTTATATAGGTAAACTCATGTAACAGGGGTTTCTTGTACATATTGTTTAGTCACTCAGGTATTAAGCCTAGTACCCATTAGTGATTCTTCTTGATCCTCTCCCTCCTCCTGTCTTTCACCCTCTGGTAGGCCTCAATGTATTTTGTTCCCCTCTATGTGTCCATGTGTTATCATTTAGCTCCTACTAGTAAGTGAGAACATGTGGTATTTGGCTTTCTGTTCTGGCCTTAGTTTGCTAAGGATAATGGCCTCCAACTCCATGTTCCTGCAAAGAACATGATCTCATTTTTTTTTTTTTTTTTTTGAGACAGGGTTTCACTCTGTCAGCCAAGGTGCAGTGGTGTAATCTCAGCTCAAGACAGTCCTTGCCTCCAGAGGTTAAGCTATTCCCATGCCTCAGCCCCCCAAGTAGCTGGGATTACAGGCGCACGCCACCATGCTCAGCTAATTTTTGTATTTTTATTACATGAGTTTCACCATGTTGGCCAGACTGGTCTCAAACTCCTGACCTCAAGTGATCTACCCACCTTGGCCCCCCAAAGTGCTGGGATTACAGGTATGGGTCACCCTGCCCAGCCATGGTCTCATTCTTTTTATGGCTGCATAGTATTCCATGGTGTATAGGTAACACATTTTCTTTATTTAAGTTGACAGAAGTTTGTTGGTTTTTATTTAATATCAGAATTATTTCAAAGGCATCCCTTAAAGACTAAATGGCAAAATGAACTCAGCAGCAAAACAGCCTCTCTCAGAAGAGATCTTATTGCAATGCATTGGTCAGAGATTGGTTTGGATTGCTTTGTTGTTACTGTTAGCGGAGGTGTGAGGTTGCCCTTGTCTAAATTTTAAACTTGCTCAGTGTCTCTGCTCTACGGTGGCTTCAGTCACCATCCAGTGAAAATTACTTGGAATCTGGTTGGCACATCTTTTAGACAAAGTATCCATGTGGCTGCTTTCTCCTCATTGCCCATTCCTACACCCCTGATTACCAGTGCTTTTGTCAGGAGACACGCCCGCCTGCTCATGCAAAATTGAAGTTGAAATTTAAACAGGAAGAGGAAAATGTTTAAAGGAAATTCTCAAATGTTATTCTATCGAGAGTAGAGGAGGTATATGTTGCATTAGAAAAAGGTGAGGTAATTCTCAGTAGAAAAGTTTGGAGAAGTAGACATAATCCTTAGGACTTTTCATGTGCATGCACCAATACTCACAATGTGATTAATACATAAAGACCTAAACTTTTTTGCTTGAAATAAATGCACTGTCAAAGACACCATCACAACATCTAAACTTGTAAGGTGATTAGGAGGAAGATGGAGGCATTGAAGGAAGCCAATGCGACCTCATAAGAAAATCTGATTAGATTAAATTTAAAATATACGTAAACAAGGACAAATAAAAAATTAGCCTGTATCTGTAACAGTAGATAGGCTGAAGTCGAGTATGAAATGATCTTGAAGAAAATGTTGAATGGCATAAAATATTGTTTGATGTTGTTCTAAGATATGTGCTCTGATCTCTTGTTTAACTTCTCTGTGCCTCAGTTTCCCCTTCTGAAAAATAATGATATAAACATACCTCTTTCATAAGAATGACAGAAGGATTAAATAAATGATATATGTGAAACACCAATAAAAAATTGCCTGAAACATGATAAAGATTCAAACAATGTTTTTCCTAGCTATTATTGGCACACTGTTAGTGATGGCCATTCAGCTTTTTGCTGGTCTACTATTCATTGATCTTCCATCATAAATTAATTTATTCATTGGCAGGAAGGTTGTCATAAATAAATCCTAAAGTTCTTCTCCAATTTTTAAGATTCTATAAATTGTTACACAGCATCTATCTGCAAATTCTATCTCTCAGGCTAGATCATTTACTCCTTAAGGGCAAAAAAAATTGTGTGGTTTGTTTTATTTCCTCAAAAAATGTTCAGCACAGAGCTGGATACAAGGCAGATATTCATCAAATAGTGATCAGAGAGCTTATTAATTACTGAAGTCCTTGCATAAGGCCAGGATTTGAGAGGGCTGAGTAGAGGCTTAAGGCCATCAAAATAATTTATTAAAAATAATTCCTACTTGGGCTAGAAAAATCTCTATTATGAGGATGGTGGTAGTTTTTACATGAATTGAATCATTTAATAATCTAACAAACTTAAAGGTTAACTGTAACTATCTCCATTTATCACTTAACAAAATTGAGGCTCACACAGGTGAGGTAATTTGTCCAAATGCTCATAGCTGGTATGAGATGAAGCTGAAATCAGATCTCAGGCCCAATGGATAATACACCATGTTTTGACCATTTTACACTATATCAATTTATGATGTGGTAAAACCATGCAAATTGGTATAATCCTCAGTCTCAAATTTTTAAAAAATCAGTCTTAGATCACTATGTTTTTGTACATCAACAAAAATAAAACTGATGTCATGAGGCTCTAATGCTCATGGGGACATGGTAGATTTTCCTGCAAATCCCAGGCAGAACTTTTCACTGCCTGAACTTGAGCTTGTTGATTCTGTTGCTAAGGTCAATAAGTACTAAGGGATTCCAAATGTGGCACTGCAACTTCAGAGATTCTCAACAGGCCAAAAAAATATGAGCCAAGATCAGAAAGGACCTCATTAAGGACAATACTGACATATGTAACATCAGTAGAAGACTCAGGGCAATAAAGTAAGTTTGTAGAACCACTCTGGTCTTCACGGTCCATACCTCACAATTTGCCAGTTCTTTTGATTGCCATGCCTTCCCAGCTAGAAGGTGAGCTCTGTGAAGGTGGAGACACTTATTCATCAGGTGTCTCTGGCATTCAACTGGGCGCATGGGTATTTGTTGTGTCTTTTCAGCTGATTGATCCAGGTGTGACAGGTGTGAAAGACTAAGATATGAATATTTTAATGCTGATCCAATCTACTGGTCTTCTTATGACCTAGAACAATGGTCAAAAAATTTATGTGGTTTCTACCTTCATATTGCAACTAATCTTTAAAAACTGACACTCGTCAAGTTTGTGTAGAATCAAAGCATATTATTCATAATCATCTGGAAAGGCTAATAAAATACTCCTACATCCTCCAACTAAATGTCTGTGTGAATCCAGATTTTCTTCATTTACTTCAGCCAGAACAACATACCACAACGAGACTAAATAGAGAAGTCGTTATAAGAGTTTAGTTGTTGTTCTAGTCTGTTCTCACACTGCTATGAAAACATATCAGAGACTGGGTAATTTATAAAGAAAAGAGGTTTAATTGACTCACAGTTCTGCAGGGCTTGGGAGGCCTCAGGAAACTTACAATCATGGTGGAAGGGGAAGCAAACATGTCCTTCTCATGGTGTCAGGAAGGGGAAGAATGAGTGCCCAGGGAAGGGGGAAACCCCTCATAAAACCATCAGATCTTGTGAACACTAACTCACTATCACCAGAACAGGATGGGGAAACCACCCCCATGATTTGATGATCTCTACCTGGTCCCTCCCATGACACATAGAGATTCTGGAAATTACAATTTAAGATGAGGTTTGGGTCAGGACACAGTCAAACCATATCAATCGGCATTCATTAAGTTATAGATTGCAAGAAATGAAGGACAATGCCATTCATTTTACTAGATATTTTTGTTTTTAAAAAGATTTAATTTGTATAAAATATGTATTATTTAATGTAAACATATAATGAGTTTATTGTTATGTTAAGTGGACTAATTATCTTTTAATATCTCAGTTTAAATTTCAAATATATTAAATACCAGTCGTATAAGGCATAGACATTTAAGCTGTTTGGGTCCTCAAAAATTTTTAAAATCATCAAGGAGTCTTAATGATTTAAAAAATTATTTGGTTTAAAACCAAAAGTTTTGAAAACTCATGTCCTAGTAGCTATGCTTTGCTTCTGGACAGGACTGAATTCTCTAACGACTATCTATGGGCAAAGCCCTCCAAGGCCCTGGTTTTCTCTTCTCTGGAAATCAGTTGGTCATGCTGGTGGTGCACCCAAATTTGCTCTGTTGTTTGTATGACAATGATGTCAGTGGATGACCACAATGGGATTGGCAGTGTCTAGAGCTGCCAGCCTCTGGGGATGATGCTGACAAGGCTTATTGTTGCCACCATGGTACTGGAGGCTTCTAAAGACAGAAGACTTCAGAGAGAGAAGATCTCACACAGACTCATTTAGGATGGCATGTGACATGCCCCTGTAGTATGGAACCATAGCTCCCTCTCTTAGAGGCAGGTTTGAATCCTGCTTCTGCTCTCTACTATGAAAGCTTGCACAAGTTGCCTAACCTCTCTGAGCCTACACAGTGAAGAAGAGAACACCAACTTTTACCCGTGAAGACACGAGTCTTTTGAGTAGAAAAACTGACATTTCCTTTCAGGTCCCCTTGATACTATTACATATTTCCTTCCTCTTCCCTGGTCCTTATGATTTGAGATGCAAAGACATCCAAAAATGTTTTGCAATGCCAAAATGCCCAGGGGAAACTGAAGAAAGCCGTTTCACAAGGAAATAGAAGAAAATATCATCAATCACTGAAAACACACAGGTGTTTGGTATGTATATGCCAAGATGCCAAGACTGTTCACTAATGGAAGAACTGTGTCTCAGTAAAACATATTTTAAGAAACAAAAAATTCATACATCCCTGGCTCCTGATAGCCATGCACTACTACCACATCCCCAAAGGCTCCCTTCCTGGGGTAAGAGCTCAGCAGGTTTTCTCCTCTCAGCCTAAAAAGTTGGCTTCTTTATCTCACCAGCAAATAACTAAGGCCTGTGGTTCTTTGGTGGTTTGAAGAGTCATGCCTTTTTGCCTTTCTAATGCCAACTGACTGATGAGATCAAGGGTTCTTGGGGAAAGAGCTCATCTCCAGCTCAAATAATTACAGAGGAAGAGATGAATGATAAGGAACAGTCAGAGTAGTGGCAGATGGCTAACAAAGCTCTCTCCTGCGGGCACAGCCCCTGTCCTAGGACCCCTAGGATGCTTGGGGTTGTGATGATAATGCAGATAAATGGAGGAGGGTACTCAGAATTATACATTAATGCTCATTCCAGGACTGAGATCAACTGGCCCAAATGTTTGTTTTTTTTTTTTGTACCTTTCACCTTTGTGAAAAGCCTTAGCGTACGTTTGTTCACCACTTAATTTCAGCACCTAGAATAGTGCTTGAAACATAGAAGTTCAATGCATGTTTGACAAACTACTGCATGATTCGTTTTAGGTTCCCACCGACAGAAAATGATGCAACTATCTAATCATTTTTTCTTCCATATCTAGGCATTTAGGCACTAACCTTTCATTTAACTATTCTTAAAACATACAAAATAGTCACAAAGAACTTGCCCATACTGTAGTTCAAGTTAAATACAATGCCAGGGCCTGGCCTGAAGGAGCTTCCAGAGTGACTCTACCATTTTATATTAGATCACAAATGTTTAAGAGATCCATTTTCTCTGTAACCTTACTAGCATTTAGTATTGTCACTATTTTTTATTTTGATTTCCACATGTTCAATGCTAGCATATTGAAATACAATTAATTTATGTATGTTGGTATTGTAAATCGAAACTTTGTTAAAAACTCATGTATCAGTCCTAGAGAGTTTTTTTGTTTGGTTGGTTTTTATTTGGTAGGTTCCTTAGGATATGCTACAAAGATTATCATATCATCCACAAATGAGAATAATTTTATTTCTTCTTTTCTGATGTGCATGTTTGAAATTTCCATTTCTTGTCATATTGCACTGGTAAACACTTCGCGTACTATGCTGCATAGCAGCAGTGAAAGAGGACATTCTTGCCTTGTTCCTGATCTTAGGGAGAAAACAATGTCTTTCTCCAGTAAGAACAATGTCTACTTCTGGTTTTGGTATCAGTGTAGGACTAACTTCATCAAATGAATAGAAGCATGTTTCAACCTCTTTTATTTTCTGGAAGAGGTAGTACAGAATTCTTTTTAAAAAATTGGTATAATTCCTCAGTGAAATCATTTGGGCTTACAGATTTTGGATAGTGAGGGGTGTGGGTCTTAAATTTGAAAGTTCTTTTCTTTTCTTTCTTTTTTCTTTTGCCCAGGCTGGAAAGCAGCAGTGCAATCTTGGCTCACTGCAAATTCCACCGCCCAGATTCAAGCAATTCTCCTGCCTCAGCCTCCCATGTAGCTAGGATTACAGGTGCCCGCCACCACGACCAGCTGACTTTTGTATTTTTATTAGAGATGAGATTTCACCATGTTGGCCAGGCTGGTCTAAAACTCCTGACCTCAAGTGATCCAACTGCCTCAGCCTCCCAAAGTACTGAGATTACAGGTGTGAGCCATAGTGCCCAGCCAAAAGTCTATTTTCTTAGTAGCTGTAGAGCTATTCAAATCATCTATTTCATACTGGGTGAGTTACATACAGTAGATTGTGTGTCTTGAGGAACTGATCAATTTCTTCTAAATTGTTAAGTGTGTATGTAGAGTTGTCTGTAGTTGTTGTTTCCCCTATGCTTGTGGTTTCTGCAGGGTCTGTAGTAATATCCCACTTCATCTTTGATCTTGATCATTAATGTCTTCCCTCTCTTTTTCTTTGTCAGTCTTGCTAGAGGTTCATCCATTTCACTGATCTTTTCAAAGAACCAGATATTTGTTTCATTGATTTTCTATCTGGTTTCTGTTTTCAACTTCATTGATTTCTGCCCTTATCTTATAAAATCTCCTTCCTTCTATTGCTTTGGATTTACTTGGCTCTTCTGTTTTTACTTTGTTGAAATGAGAACTTAAATGACTGATTTGATCCTTTTCCTCTTTTTAATGTATGCATTTAGTGCTATAAAATTTCCTCTCAGCATGGACTTAGCTGTGTCCCACAAATTTTGGTATGTTGATTCAGTTCAATGCATTTTTATTTCCCTAAAGATTTACTCTTGGACCTATAAATTATTTAGGAGTGTAATGTTTTCTTTCCAAGTCTTTGAGGATTTTCCTGTTAATGTTATATAAGTGGTTTCTAGTTTGAGTCCATTGTGGTCAGAGAACATACTCTATGATTTCAATTATTTTATTTTTTGAGACAGAGTCTCCTTTTGTCACCCAAGCTGGAGTACAATGGCACAATCTCAGCTAACTGCAGTCTCTGCCTTTTGGGTTCAAATGATTCTCAGTCTTCTCAGCAGCTGGGATTACAGGCATGTGCCATCACACCCAGTTAATTTTTTGTATTTTTAGTAAAGATGGGGTTTCCCTGTGTTGGTCAGGCTGGTCTTGAACTTTCGGGCTCAAGAGATCCACCCACCTCGGCCTCCCAAAATGCTGGGATTAAGGACATGGGACACCACACCCAGCCTGGTTTCAATTATTTTAAATGTATTAAGGTTCATTTTCAGGTCGTATTAAATCGAATCCTATTTGATAGTAGTACTTTGTTTTTCTGTATCTGTGCTGGCTTTCTCTCCAGTTTTACTTTCAGTTTTGGAAAGAGGAGTGTTGAAGTCTCCAAGTACAGTTATGGATTTGTCTATTTCTCCTTTGAGTTCTATCATTTTTGCTTTACGTATTTTACAGTACTATTATTTGGTGCATACACAGTGAGCACTACTTTGCTTTCCTAGTGCTAGGAGAACTTTTATCTCCCATCCCTCATAAGTTTGTTTTGCTCTGAAACATACATTATCTAACCTTAACACAGGCACTCCTGCTTCATTTAAGCTGATGTTTGCATTCAACATCTCTTCTTACCCTTCTACTTTGCTAGGCTGCCCCCTTCTTGGTTCTTTGGCTCAAAAGAGCAGGCCTTTCTCAGTGCATTATATCTTCTCCCATCAGTATTTCTGGGTCACCAACTTCTCCAAAAGCGACTTTGGGATCTGCAAGACCAAAATTCAGGAACTCACTACTATATTGCACCTCAAATCCAAAAGTCCCCAACAATAGCTGAAGTAAGGTTGTCATCCAAGGCCCTACTTAAGAAGCAGATCACAAGGTGCACGACTGTGGACAAAACAACTGTGAACACCTACAGGACACGCAGCAGTCACATGCACAAGAGATGTCCTCAGCAACCAGAGGGCAGAGCAAGAGCACCCAGGGATTCCAACAACTTGGTTTCCCCAATGCCATGAGGTTGCCACAGAAGCAATTGCTCATCCCTATAGAGAAGCAGAAGAGGAAGAGAGAAGCTACCTGAAAGAGTATAACCTTTAGAAGGAGAGATTGAACACTTCCTACATGAACTAAGTCAGATATTGAATCAAACCAAGGTTTTTAACCCACTTTCATGCTGAAATAATTGGGTCTCACTAACTGCAAGTGGGAATACAGAAGAGAGCCAGATGTGATGTAGGAAACTTAAAGACATTACATTTTTTTGGTGTATCCTAGGTCAAAATTAGACTTTCCAGGTGTTTTTAAATCTAGGTAGTATAGTCTAGGATTATACTTACCTAGGTGAAGGTGAATACAGGAAGCTAGGAAGTGATGTGTCTTCTGTATTCTGTGGTCTCTACGAGAAATTAGTTTGTGGATTTTAATTCCATTTGGTTTTCTCATGGGTAGTTTCCATTCTTGTCTTTTCCTTTTCTTCTTCTTTTCATTCTGATCTCTCAGATTCTTCACAGATGTTCTTAATTATCTACAACTTTAGGAGTATAAAGATGACATTTTGCATCACAGGATCTCTTGTACTATTAAATATCTCTATTTCCAAGCAAACTGGACTCAAAATTTCCCAGTGTTTCAGCTGTTTTAAGAATGGGGACACATGTTATTCTGACTGCATTTTCATTCAACAAGTCTTTAAGGACCTATGTGTCAGGCACTAGACCGAATCCTTCCCAGGGGGTCTCATCTCAATATAACAGCCCTGTGACAACTGTATTCACCACCCACATTTCAAATAAAGAAACTGAGAGGTGAATGGACATGTTCCAGGCACTCAGTCAGTGTGTGGCAAAGTCAGACACCTCACAAGTCCAGACCACTTTCTCCCCTCCAAACAATCTTCTTTGGACAATTCAGAGAAGGCTTTGCCTTCTGTTAGCATTTCAGAACTCTCAAGAGTACAGGCTTGACAAGAGAAGTGCCTCCTCAGGATGGGAGCCAGTAGCTATTCTCAGTGCCGTCCTGTTAGCCAGGCTTCATCCCTACCTTTCTGCGCTGGGTCGAGAGTGAAGGACACTGCCTTTCAGATGCTCTTTTGAGATCCTCAGTAAACCTGCTTAAGCCAGTTATTTTTGATGGATTCCTCATGTGATACTTATTTCACCTATTTTCTTTGCAAAACCCTCCATGTTTTCCTATGTAAAAACTATTTTATACTAAAACATGCTCATAATATGAAATGACATTGATATTTGACAGCCTGATTGCTGAAATTTTGCTTTAATAACAACACGTCTGTTTTTTTCCTTTCTTATGTATCTAAACCTCTAAATTTAGGAATAGAATCACTTGTGTTGTGCTTCTGAGCTCACAGTAGGGCATGAAAATACCCTATTTGGATTTGAGAATGTTTATCACTTGACTGGGAAGGGGGTAGGCAGGTGTGAACCAGAATTAGGCTGTTGAGATTCAAAAAATTGTTCTGATGTTTATTTGAGATAAATTCTTAGAAACAGGCAGGCAAAGTGGCTCATGTCTGTAATCCCAGCACTTTAGGAGACCGAGGCAGGAAACTCACCTGAGGTGAGGAGTTTGAGATCAACTCGGCAAACATGGTGAAACCCTGTCTCTACAAAAATACAAAAAAATTATCTGGGCATGGTGGCAGGAACCTGTAATCCCAGCTACTTGGGAGGCTGAGGCAGAAGAATCTCTTGAGCCTGGGAGGCGGAGGTTGCAGAGAGCTGGGACTGTGCCAATACACTCCAGCCTGGGCAACAGGAATGAAACTCCATCTCAAAAAAAAATTTTTTTTTTAGAAACATTGCTCCTCAGGAAGAGCACTTGGGTGGGGGTGGAGAGCTCATGCATGTGATATCTAAAATGGGAAATTAGAAGGAGACTCCAGAGATAGTGCAACCAGTTGACAAAGTGATTAGGCTGAACCCGTTGAAGTTTGCATGTTGACCTTAAGACAAGGCAATTGTATAGAGTTTGACTGAATGGCATGAAAAGGGAAATAGGTGGGAAGGGAGTAGAGGGAGAAAGAAGGCAGTGGAGGCCAGGAAGACAGGGACTGCAGAGTTGTAAGGCCACTCCCATCAGACAGCTCTTGGGCCAGGCAGGGAATGAATTGCTCATAATAATGGTAAGGGCAGATCAGAAATTATTTAGGGACTTATTCCAGGAAATACCAGAGGAACAAAGAAGCCAACTAGTTCCAGGAGATTCATTTATTCCTGAAATTGAAGGGTGGATCTGAAACCTAGTAGGAAAAGGTCCCTATGTATCCAAAGATCTTTGTGGCTTCAAGGATGGAAGTGTGGCAAGGAAAGAACACTATCCCCAAGAGGACTGAGCAGGCAATGAGGATAAACCATGCCTTTGAGACCAAACACAAGCACATGCATACACATAAGCACACACATGTGTATAACATGCAACCTAGGCCATGTATTGTGCTCATTACATCACCTATCTCAGGATTCCCTCACTCCAGTAAAAGGTCGCAGCATGCATGTGCTGGATGTCAAAGGACAGGATCATCCAGATAAAAGGGCACGTGAAAGGCAGCAGAGCATCAATCAAGGGCTGGGGGCTTTGGGAGGGTTCTCCTCACCCCTTCTCCTCACAACCCTGTAGCCACGATGGGTGTAGGGAATGTCATACCTGAGAAAAGGCCATCGACAGTCCTACATCCTGGTATCCAGCTGCCCACTTGGCTCAAAGTTAGATGATTGACAGATATTGATCATAACTGCCAGTTGGATCCTGATTCACCACCCCTGAGAATTAAACTAGAGAGTACTTCACACTGTGAGCACAAAGAGTACAGACAGGCGGTCTTAGACTGACTCAAAATATCTTCCCCTAGGGTCCCTCATTAGGTAGCAGGCTGTCCTTTCCAAGAATGTGTTTATCAGAAAGGCAATGGAAACTTTGCTTTCTCTAGAACTCTGTTAACATGCAACTTGAGATAGCCACACATGCCTCTGTTTGGAGAACAGAGGCTCACTATTTATAATAATAACGGCTGGGGTCATCGCCTTCCCTCTGGGGCCTGCCCTGCCAGAAAGGTTAGGACACATTCATTTGCCTCTACATGTCAGGGTGAGTTCTTTGCTGCACAATCTGTAGAATGAGAAGACAGAAGAGTCTAACTACAAATCCTTCCTTGCAAGTGTGGGCTTGGTTGCTCAGATTAGGAAGACAGTCTAATGAGTCCTGGAGAGGCAATTGTTCTATCTCTACCCTCCCAGGGAACTCAGCCATGCAAATCCTTGATGCTTGCAAGGTCTTTCTACCCCTAGAGAGAACAGGAGAAATCTTGGCTGATTTCTACTGCAAGATGCTAGCAGAACTCAAGAGAAAAACAAAGATGCTTCTGTATTGAAGTTTTAAAACTTCAAAATAATGCTTCCATCATGTATCTAGATTTTTTTTCAGCACAAGAAATATGATTTTACAATTATTGGAGCAAAGGGGATAAGAATATTGCTCTCTCCATTTCTGTTGGATCGCCTGACATTCTCTCCTCAGTTCAGTGTGCAATTAACTAATGAGCTTGAATTCATGAAATAGTACCAGAGAAAGCAATATAGCCTGGTAAATCAAAAACACAAAGCAAGCTGGGCGCAAAGGCTCATGCCTATAATCCCAGCACTTTGAGAGGTCGAGGCAGGTGGATCACCCGAGGTCAAGAGTTCGAGACCAGCCTTACCTTTGCTAAAAATGCAAAAATTAGCCAGGCATGGTGGCATACACCTGTAGTTCCAGCTACTTGGGTGGCTGAGACAGGAGAATTGCTTGATCCCTGAGGTGGAGGTTGCAGTGAGCCGAGATCGCGCCATTGTGACAGAGCAAGACCTCGTCTCAAAACAAACAAACAAAAAACACAAAGCAACACAAAACTGTGTAGGTTTGTCCTCCGTCCATGTTCCAGAAAGGACAACCACAAAAGAGCTTAAAATGGGTTTTCATTTTTAGACCTTACTTCTTTGAATAGAACATGCAATCCTTGAGATGTTTCTTATCTCTGGACATATGCCTGGTGCGTAGCCCTGGTGGGACCATGGTCTGAAGGGGCCTTCATACACAGCTCATCACCTCTGGAGAACTGTCAGCAAAGCAACGGACTGAGAACTCCCAGGACCTGGCTGCCTGTGACAGGCCCAGAAGGTGTGGATTTGTGGAAGCAACACGCTAGATAACAGGCAATAAAAAGCTGCTGCTTGTCTTAGGAGAGAGTTCAGCATAATTACAGCTAAAACTGTGTCTTAAAATAGGAAGATTATGATGTCTCTGTAGATTCTATAACAAACTGATACTGGCTGATTGGGGCCAGAAATCCAAAAGTAAAAAGTCTGAAAATACACTTTTCTGAGTAAGGAACTGATATAGGAGGGGCAGGGAAGTGCTGGGTAAAGAAAGAGGAGTCCCTGGTGACTCCAGCCCCAGGCCTGTGCCCACGGACCTGGGTGAGGACAGGCACTCCTTCTTCATGCCCAAATGTTGCATTTCCCAAGACCACCCTGGTCCGCCACATCCCCATCCTCTGCCTTTTAGAATCCCGAGATCCCAGTGGGCACACGCACAAGTGGCTGGACATCCAGAGTTGCTGATCGACAGAAAGAAGACGCAAGCAGCTGCGTGTCAAGAGAAACACATTGGCGGAGGAACACGCAAGTGGCTGGACTTGGAGAGGGAGTTAGGGGCACAGATAGGTACCCAGCATGTCTGTAGGTCATCAACTGGCAGAACAATGTACAGTTTGGCCTGGGGCAGTCGGAGGAGAGCCCAGGTCGCTCAGCGGCACGACTCCAGGAGAAAACCATCTCCCTTCTGGCTCCGCCATCTGCTGAGAGCTACTTTCACTCAATAAAACCTTGCAGTCATTCTCCAAGTCCAGGTGTGATCCGATTCTTCTGGTACACCAAGGCAAGCACCCGGGATACAGAAAGCCCTCTGTCCTTGCAACAAGGTAGAGGGTGTAATTGAGCTGGTTAACACAAGCTGTCTATAAATGGCTAAACCAGAAGACTACTTTGTAACACACGCCCACTGGGGATTCCGCTGTAAACATTCAGCCCCAGACACTGCCGTCGGGTGGGAGCTCCACAGCCTGCCGGTCTGTATGCTCCCCTAGAGGTTTGAGCAGTGGGGCACTGAAGAAGCGAGAGGGACATGGGAACCTTTCCTATTTCAGAATCATCCTTCAAACCGCAGCTCTATTTGTAGGTCTTCTTTCTGAAGCCACCAGTATAGAAGTCCATTTTCTCATTCTTGGCAGTAGCTTTAGAATCCACTTTGGAGGCTAAGCAGTTCAAGAACATGGGTTTTGGAGTCAGGCAAAACTAAGCTTGAATTCCAATTCTGTCTCTTAGTACTCCTTACGGAGAATTTAGCATTTTGTTTCACCTCCCCGAGTCTCTGTTTCATCACCTGCAAAACAAGAAAACTGTATCATAAGACTGTAAAGACTAAAAAAGATCATCTATATAAAGAGTGTATCTCTGAGGTCAGGAGTTCGAGGCCAGCCGGACCAATATGGTGAAACCCCATCTTTACTAAAAATATGAAAATTAGCCAGGCATGGTGGCATACACGTGTAGTTCACATATACCTACACTCACAGCAGGTACATGTAGTGAGTGCTTCATGACACCAATTATCACCAGTCCCATGCGGGGATAATCCTTGGATCCAGGAAAGCCACTTCTCTCTCCTCATTTCCAGAGCTCATTTCTAAGCCCCCTCCTCCCTCAGTCTCATCCTCTTCTCTTCCGTTTTCTGATCTGTACTCTAATGTCATGCTTTCTTGCAAGATTATCTCTGGCAACAGAGATTGTGTTACACAATGTTCAACCAGGAATGTTTATTTTAAAGAACAATTTAGAATGTAGTCCTAGATATTTGTACTTCAAGCTTCAGAAAATCAAAGTTTTAATCCTTAAATTACTTTTCAAATGTAGCATTGAGCATTTAAAACTCAATTAAAAAAATAAATCAAATATGGACCTTGATTTTTTTTCCAAAGCCAATTTTATAAACTTATATAAAATAAATAAAAGCTGCTTGTGCTATAAGAAATAAAGGGGACTTACCTGAGGTTTCTGTAGCCGTAGGGCTTATGAGTATATAGCCAAAGAGAAAAGATTTAAGCAAAATCTCTAACATGAAAGGCAGCAAAACACTCACACACACACACACACAGACACACACACACACACACACACACAAAACAAGTTTATAAGAAACAAAATGTAGAAGTAGAAGGATATTAAAAAATAAAGTTAATACACTGGAAGGTAAAGGAAGACATTGTATTCATGGAACAGGCAGAAGAGTCCATAAAAACAAACATTCAAAGACCAAAATGGAGCTTTAAAAAAATAAAATTGTGATAGCAGAAGTAAAATTCAATGAGAAGAATTGAAAATTAAAAATTGAAGAAATGTCCTAAAGGACAGAATCAAAATACAAAAAAGACAGAAACTAGAAAAGAAAAAAATAAGAAAATTGGTGGATCCATCAAAGATATTAGAACTTCCAAAAAGGGCAGATAGAGAAAACGGAGGTGGGAAAGTAATCCAAGATGAAACACAAGAAAATTTTCCAGAACTGAAGGCAAATGTTTCAAGACTGAAAGAGTCCTAAGTGATTCAGACTAAGACTCATCATGGTAAACTTTCCGTTCTCTTTATCCCCAGAACCCCAGGGACAAAGAGAACTACGTTTCTCCAGAAAGAAAGAAGTAAAATTAACCAGGCAAAATTCAACAGATGCAAATAAAAATGGCACTGAATTTCTCAACAATGAACTAAAACTTAGAAGACAATGGAGAAATACCTTCAAAATCCTAAAAGAAAATAATTTCAATCTTAGAATTCCACACCTAGCCAAATGTCAGTTACATGTATGCATAGACTAAAATGCTGGAGCATTCACAATGTCAGAGATTTTATTGCCTATGCACTCTTTCTTGAGAAGCTACGTAAGAGACACACCATGGAATACTATGCAGCCATAAAAAGGAATGAGATCATGTCCTTTGCAGGGACATGGATGGAGCTGGAAGCCATTATCCTCAGCAAACTAATGCAGGAACAGAAAACCAAATACTGCATGTTCTTACTTATGAGTGGGAGCTGAACAATGAGAAGACATGGACACAGGGAGGGGAACAACACAGACTGGGGCCTGTCAGAGGAACAACACACTCTGGGGCCTGTCAGGGGATGGAATGGGGGGAGTGAGAGCATTAGTAAAAACAGCTAATGCTTGCTGGGCTTAACCCTAGGTGATGGGTTGATAGGTGCAGTAAACCATTGTGGCACACATTTACCTATGCAACAAACTTGCACATCCTGTACAAGTACCCAGAACTTAAAATAAAAATTAAAAATTAAACAAATGAAGAAGCTATGTAAGAAAGTATTCTACCAAAATGAGTAAATGCTAAAAAAATTTAAAAAGAAGGTTTAAGAGCCAGGAATGAAGAGATACAACCCGGGAGAAAGGACAAGGAATTTTCACAAGGGAGGTGAAGAGAAAGTCTTCTGCAGCTAGAATGCGATCAGTGCAGTTCAGAACAGGATGACGGGGGCTCTGGGAAGCATGTGAAAAAGGGTAGATTGGATTAAACTGATAGACTATCAGTTTGTTAGGAGATGTGCATTCCTAGTGGAGAATTTGAAAATGATTTAATGACAGGTAATGAGCAAGCAAATAGGGAAAATGAGGTAATTGTTAAATCTATAAAACGCAATAAGAAAGGAAATAGAGTCATGGCAAAAAACAAAAACAAAACTAAGGCTTAGCATGTGTAATAATTAAAGAGGCATAATAATAATTACCATACACTGATTTCAC